TGGTGTGTGTTCCTCCAAGAGATGCTACTAACTAAATCTAACCTTGATACGCGCCAGTAGTGCCATCAGCAGTGACTTTGCACGGACTTTTCGAACGACCCTCGTATATATATATATATATATTGAAAAATAAGATCAAATTTTTAAAAATAAATATTAATTGCGAGATAAGCCTTCTTTTTACATATTCAATAAAACATAATTTGAATTTTCTTAAAAAGTGAAATGGACAACCCATTTCCTTTGATTGTGATTGAAATCAGCTTCATTAACATCTTGAAAGTTACAAGTGTTTGGGAATATATCTGTAATATATCGATAGTGATATGTATCGCTTACTATTTTCCAAAGATATCCGTCAATGATAATTCTTATAATATGTATCTATATATTTACTACGTAAATAATACTGATTCTTGAATACCGATTTTAATACATTAGTAAAGAATTTTTTTACTTGCACAACTGATGATTCGCTGCATAAACAATATTTTTACGCTAGCCATTAGTATACTTTATACATATATGATGATCATAAGGACAATTATATCATCGTAGTACGAGTTATTGAGGATAGTATCTATTTGGATCTGAAATAATTTGAACACACTAATTGTCCGCGCTGGTATAATTGACTTTTATCGCGCGATTAACGAATCACGGCTCTTAGTATCGATAAAATTACGAGTATACGTTATCATCGTGATTGACGATGGTGAATAAACTGAATAAAGGAATAAGAGAAATACAAACGAGAAATATTATAATTATGTATCATTTGCTCGGCTTTTTTTTTACACTGCTGTCATAACACTCATTGCACGGTTTTACAGCATTGGAAATTTTGAATGCATTTAAAAATCGTTTTCCAGCGTATCACATAGTTTAATGTATTTTTTGCAATATTATTATTATTGTTGTTGTTATTTTTATTATTACATCATAATTCAATCAATCATTTCTCGTTTCTTATTAAAGAGTTATTTCTATTAAATTCTAATTACTTGGAGTCGAAATTATAATAAAAATAATGGTGGCATGTAAAAGTATGTAGTTAATAAAATCTTACGTAAGTTTATTGATAAATGACAATATGAATTAATGTACATTAAACTTATCAGTCTGCACGTTTGTACAGCACAAACATCCTCCATGCGCTTGTAATTAAAGAATATTAGTCAGACTAGAAAAAAGTGTTGAATGACTGTAGTTCTACATACATGTGCATATATCGTGACAAGTAATTTGGCTTTAATAAACACTCTATATATGGCAAAGTTTTTAGTTAAAAAGATGTTGTAAAGAGAATATTAGAAATTATCATACAGATGATCCTATAAATACACAAAATTTTATCTTACTCCCTACATATCCCAATTTAGAAGTAATAATATGATGGAAGATAATAGATAAGATCAAACATGTATATATATATATATATATATATATACATATGTATGCATAATCTTTTTTTCGTTTCGTAGTACTACTATTTCGTAATTTAATATGCAAATAATTTCTGTATCCGGTATCAAGGATCATCTGCAGTTAATATAATAATTGTGCATATATTTAATTCAACATCATCTCTCTTTATGTACGTTAATTGTGTTTCTGTTGCCTTTCTTGTCATTCGTTTCGCTGATTCGAGCGAATTCACGTTGAGTCGACGTTACGCTTGACTTATACTACTTAAAAGAGAAGAACCTAGCCTGTCTCGAAAAATGTCCCGACAGTCGAGCAAGCTGTGAACTCGAATAAGAATATCGAGTGAGAAAAAGGAAAAACAAAAGCAGAAAAAGCTTAGAAATTACGGATATACCTTCTGATTTACGCCGCATGCAAATTCAGAATTTGTAAAGATAACGTCGTCGATGATACTACGTAAAAACGAGATACGTTATCGCGAGCACGACGGTCAAAAGGCGACGTTTGATTGCGCGTCTTATCCTTAATATTTTAGTCCTTAATATTTTCTCTGACAGAGGAATGTATCTTGGTCCTGCGCGTTCAAATACTTCAAAAAAAATTCCAGCGATGTGTGTGTGTGTGTGTGTGTGTGTGTGTGTGTAATCGATTAAAGATCTTGGTAGGAGCGCGAGTGTATAGTTTTCTGCTGAAAAACGGAGTTTCGGGGAATCCTTTGAGTGGGTAGACCGGATGGTCCTCGAACATATATATAGTGCACCGGGCTACGCAAAATCGTCTTCGGGCTCCTCTTCGCGTGCTTCTTCCCCTTGTTGTTATCCAATTTGGATGAGGTAATCTTGAGATTTTGAAAGGCCCGTCGTAGAGTCTCCGCTGTGGAGGACCTCTTAAGGGAGTCGCTATCGCTGCTGCTGTGAGCGTCCGAAGGACTGGAGGAGTAGGATGAGGGTGAGGTACTACCACGAGGTAGACTCCTGACGTCTTCGGAAAGGCTCCAAATGCGCTCCGACGATCTCTGCACGCTAGTGTTGAGCCGCTCCTGCGATCGCGTCGTTTGTCTTCGCAGCCGCTCCGGGTAGCAATACGTTCTGGGAGAGGACTTACTGGATCTGCATAAACGTTCGTTGCTATCGCGTCGCGACAGACGTCCGCCGCTTCTGAGACTTCCGCCGCTGCTGCAGCCACTGTCGGTGCTGCACTCGTCATCATCAATCTCACCCACGGATGGTGTTCTACCTCGATGATAATGATGATGATGATGATAATGGTAACGGTGATGATGATGATGATGATGCTGATAATAGTGATATTGATGATGCTGTTGGTGGTCGGTCAAATCGATCACTTGCGTAGACTCCTCCATGTCATTTGACAGTTGACGTGTGTCTTTCGTTTCAAATCACACGCTTCTATCTATATAAGACAACAGAGAGGTATCTCTCTCAAAGGACTAGGCAGACGCGCAGCAGATTGCGCGGTATCTTGTATATATATATATGTTTATATCATGTATCTTCCACGCGCGTGGACCGTGGAAGTGGGCCTCAAAGTCGAGATCGAGATAGACTTTCGTACACAGAAAAGCACTTGTTCTACTCGAATATTTTCCGCAATTCCAAACTATATATTTCCGTCGCTAATTACAGCACAATTACGCTATATTGATCTTTCTCGATCGATAGATAACTCGATCGCTTCCTTCTCCTCCTCGTCGAGACGATTATGCGTCTTACTCGAGAGATTAAACTGAGTACGATCCGCTCGACACGCGATCTTTTATACCCTCGCAGGTGAACGCGGGAACGCGCGCATGCCCTGCCCGCTGTCACGCCGCGCCGCGTTGCGCCGTCCACGTGAGAAATTGAGAATCCGTGCGATGCCGAGCCGAGGATGTCGATTGAGGAAAGCTATATGTTATAGAGTCGTGCAGAGCGATAATGGAAATTTGCAGTATTTCCACCAGCGGTAATGGAGCTACACATACGTATAAGATTCGAGACGAGAGTTCAGTTTTCTGTTCTGAAATTTCGAAAAGAACATCTACCACACAATATCGAAAAAAAGGATAATAACAGTAATCACACACCGTTTGAGATATATCTGATTTTTTTTTCACGATTACATTTTATCCTGTTAATGACCAAATCAGCTTAATTTTGAAAAATAAATATAACATTATATTCTATTTTACGTATTACACAAGGGAAATACATAGGTAACACGTGACGTTTAAACAAAGTAATTTATTTAAATATTTAATATAAATACTTGAAATTAATCTTTTATTTAGCAGCTTTAGATGTTGCATGTATATTATTGAAAGGACTGAGAAGAAGCGCAATAATAATATAGCTCTAATATTTTCTCTCTCGAGTAAATTAAAAATTGTTCATTACTATATATAAACTCTTTCTTTTCCTCTTATATCTTACAAGTCATCAATTGACACTCTTTTCTGGTATTATTGATTATTCACTATAATTACATCGCATATACGATCGTGCAATTTTTAATATTTCATAGCAAGGTTCCGATATCGGATATAATTATAGCGATCAGATAACGATGATCCCGTAACCGAATATCCAAAAATATGTATTTAATTTAATACTCTGGGAACGCTGTATTCTCTTTCTCTCATTCTCTTTCCGACCAATTTTCCCTCTCTCTCTCTCCCCCCCTCTCTCCCTCTCTCTCTCTCTCTTTTTCTCTTTCTCTCTCTATAACACAGATCTTGAAAACTAATTATACTTCGGTCACTGAACTTACCGATCCATTTCAAGGGGTGGATGTACCTGAGAGAAAATGTATTTTTGAAAATACAATCAATATATAAATTTATAATGCCCAGGTTTCAGGTAGCTCTATTTGATCCTCAACCAAAAAAATATCTGTATTATATGCATTAAAGGAGTAAGAAATTAATTTTGATGATCACACACGCATAACAAAAAAGATACATGTGTGTGTGTGTGTGTGTGTGTGCGCGCGCGCGTGTGTTACAAATTTATTTTTACATTCTACGATTACACTCTACATACAGATATGTATATCTAAATTTCATTTTTTTCTAAGACAATTTATTATCTAAAATCTGAAATGCTAGATATAGAATTTGTAAACTGAGAAAATCATATATGGTATATGTGTATATATTAAATAGATCAATAAGAAAAATTGTAATAATATTCTGTTTAATAATATGGCAAAAATGACTATAATAATGTATAATTATACATGTAGAAATGGAAAGAAACGGATTACTTTAACGTTGTCTCGAAGACACGTAGCCGTAACATTCAAAATGTAATTAATGTACGGCGAATTTGATTAGACGCACCAGTGCGCACTGAGTACGTTCAATCGAATTATAATTGTTACAATTGCTCATATTTAATCAACTGGCTGATATTCTGACATTGAATAAATTTAATTCACGTGGCGACAGAAACGTGTAGCACTAGTTATATATAAACTATTATAAATTGATACTTTCAGCCCGTTTCTGCTTCCAATGCCAATGCCTTTATGTAGAATAGAATCAATAACGCGATACAGAACGTTTGCCTACCATTTATCAACTCTATTAATAATACTATTAATAATAGAATAGCGAAAAAATTTCAATGATAGAAATGCACGCTAATATATTATACATACATATGTGTGTATATATGATACATAATTATATAATAAATACATAGTACTTATATATTGTAGTACTTATTGCAAGATGTTCGTGGATGAAAAGAGTGATTCTATATCAAAAAATAAGTTGAAAATGTAAAATAAAATTTTTTCATATCTGTACATACTCGTATAAAATGTATCTGAATTTTCATATTTAAATTTGATCTAATTCTAAGATAAATGATCGTTACAAAGTTATAACTTTGGAAGTTGCACTTTATATAACATTTAAATGCAACGTGACTTTAATTTATAGATTCTAATTCTCTGATAAATAGCTGTTATTTCCTTAAATGCAATGTATCGTTAACGTTTGATCACGTGCCGCGATACAAAGTCATATAAACAAGAGAAAGAATATTTTTCGTTCACTCTATACGTTTATATCACTATATTAAAAATATATAATAGATAAAATTCTATTTTAAATTTCGATTCTAAAATTCTATTCATAAATGTTATTTCAATAATTAATTTTATATATAATGCTAACAACACAGTAACAACTTAATGAAAAAATGTATTGTAAGATCTTACAAAGAATGAATTAAACGGACTGAAATTGTCACCT